TAATTTCGGCGTCATTATGCCATGCATCGATGCATATTAACACCGCCAAGTTCAGATGTCTCCCCTCGTCTTGCTTCTCATTCCTCTGCCGAACGTTTCAGCTGCCATCTCTCGGTTTTTAATGCAGCATTTCCAACTGTTGATATTAAAGTCACATTATGCGTTCTCAGCATTACACATATGTCGACTCCCTAGCCAGGCCCTAATAATTAGCAGTGTTCGGCACCAAGCAAGGGGGGAGCACATGAGCGTGACAAGGGAAAATGGCAATACAATTGTTTTACTGAATCCACCAAAGGGCGTAACCTCATACCATGCAGATTGCTGAAAATTAGAATAAATAAGACAAAGAAGACAATGGCATTTTTTTATATCACTTTCTTAAAGGAGTGATTTCCTGTCGTGCGAACCCTACGGTGTACTCTTCCGTGTGTGTATTGTCTACTACACCTTACTATACGGAAAGTTGAGTCTAATGTGTGGCGATAATTAACTTTCTCTCTTTGTCTTTCTTGTGTCATTTGAAAAAGAAAACATAAGCAGATACATTTCAGGAAACTTTCCCATATGCGTAGGATTCTTCCGAGACCGAAGACATCCTTAGAGTTAATTATTTTATTGTTGTCTCGACTTCCATTTCTTAGCAATGTAACTGACTCCTTTCACTTATATCAGCGTTCATTTCAGATTTGCAGCGTCAGGGAGAAAGGATCCATTTAAATGTATTATTTTGTCAGTGAGATTTTCTGAAACTAAGCAGAAAAATGTGGCTTTCATATTCATAAATTATTTTAAACATTATTTTTTTTTATCATTTATTATGAATAGTTTGAAGTGATATCGGTATTTGAAACTTACATGGGAATGCTAGATTGTCACAATAACAGTCGTTCGTTAAATTTCGTCTTTCACTTAATTACACAAACCTTTGCATTCTTAACTTATACATCAACAAAATCATATTTAATGCATTATTTTTTGGTACTTTGTGACAGTTTCAGAAGTTATGTTCATGGTTGCGTGAACATACACGAATGATTTCGTGTCCTGACCCAACATGCGGGTGACTTGGAGTTGCGTAAGTTTTGTATATCCACATGTAAGCTGATTATGGGAGGCAGGTCGTTCAGGCGTACAAGCTTACGTCATAGTGTGAGACATGCAAGGTCAGAAGTTTGTAGTCGTACCGTGGTATCTTAGAGTCACGTGCCCTTCACAATCCTATTGTTACTTCTGTAAACCTAACTGTTTGAAGAAGAAACGGGCCTTTGTGTACACAGGGAAGGTCTCTGTGCGGGTGTATGTTTCATCACTGGCTAAACAATCGGGTCACATGTGCGGAAACTCTTTGTGTCACGTGTCATTCAGGTGACCCGTTTTGGGTCGCGGGGTCGGAGGGTCATTACTCTTACTGCTTTGCGGATCGTTTCATTATGCGCGAATGTGTGGTGTTTTCGTTTGATGCGCAAGGACACACAAACGTTGTTGCGTATTTTTAATTTGCGAAATGTATAAACTTGCAACGTAGACCACCTCCCCGAGGTAAGTTGATTTTTTTTTTTTAGGATATTGATTTCTTTTTACATTATGTGTGCGTTTATCAGGCATGGAGTCCCTAATTTAGATGATGGCAATGTCTGCTTTATCCGTTAGCCTAGCAAGTTGTCTCTTGCTCCGCCTCTTTCCTCTTCACCTCTCCTTCTCTCCCTATCCCTCTCATTTTCCCTTGCTTCCTCTCTTTCCTTTCCCTTGTCAGTCGATGTATCCCACATCGACTGACGCTCAGAATAACGCGGGGCTCCATCGGCAACGCCAAATAACAGTTGCGATCTATGAAGTATCGCGATGAGATCACATCGATTCGCGCGTCTTCGAGCCTTAGCAAAACTACTTCGGGCGGGGGGGGGGGGGGGGTGAGTTGACGAATGACGAATCGGTGAAGTCACGCATAATTTAAGTAATGGCGAAATGTGTACAAAAGATTAGCAGGCGGTTTAATCACCGAGTAAATGTTTAATGAATGACGAACGCCATTCGAGTGATGCATGTCTGTGAATGGAAGTGACTGTAGGAGGGAGGAAGAATGTCAGTCTGCGATTGTGGGACGAATTTTTATGAGAGAATATAGTAGGCTTATCCGTTAGTCAGTGCCTCTATGTGTGTGTGTGTGTGAGAGAGAGAGAGAGAGAGAGGGGGGGGGGAGAGAGAAAGCAAAACAAGGGAAGACCAGGACTATGTCGAGGGCCTTTTCGCCCTGAAGAAGAAAGAGTGGAAAGGCCTTCGCCAGAATCACATGTTGGTGCCTTTCCCTGAGTCGTTTTTATTGTTCCATCAGGATGAATTTTCCACGCGTGTGTCTGTCTGTTTGTCCGCACCCCTCTCCTCTCTCTCTCTCTCTCTCTCTCTCTCTCTCTCTCTCTC